CAAAGTACCAAATACCCATTGCTCCAGACAGCCAGGGCCTTGTCCCATCTGAAATGGTACAGCAGTGCGACCGGAACCATGCCCAAATACGTGCATTTGGGGTAGCAGTGTGAGTATGCCCTACGAGGCTCGCCACACAGGCTGTCAAAAACCCAGTTTTCGACAATTTCGCATTGCCACACAGACTTTCGAGGAATTGCAGCTCAAAAACCTTTCAACAGGTGTCAGAATGGTCCTTTCTACAGCCGCCCTCCAGCAATCGTTTCCTCAACAGTCCAGCCTGAAGAATTGCAGCTCGAAAACCTTTCCACAGGTGTCAGAATGGTCCTTTCTACAGCTGCCCTCCAGCAATCTTTTCCTCCAGAGTCCAGCCTGAAGAATTGCGGCTCGAAAACCTTTCGACAGGTGTCAGAATGGTTCTTTCTACAGCCGCCCTCCAGCAATCGTTTCCTCCAGAGTCCAGCCTGCAGGTGACGGAAATTCGACAGTGGCCCACCGGCCTTTCGAAAATTGCGTTGGCGTTTCTACAGGTGTCAGAATGGTCCTTTCTACAGCCTCTCTCCAGCAATCGTTTCCTCCAGAGTCCAGCCTGCAGGTGGCGGAAATTCGACAGAGGCCCGGTCGCCGACCGGGCCTTTCGAAAATTGCGTTCGCATTTGCGTTGTCGGGGACTGTTCCGTGACACCCCTCGGCCTGGCCAGGACCAAAAACCTTGCCCCTCGCCATGACCAAAAACCTCGCCCCTGGACAGCCTGTGTGGCCAGGGGGGGGTAAACTGTCTACCACAGACTTTCGATTTTTTTCTGACACCTGTCGAGACTCTTTGCGGTTCCACAAGCCTGTGAGGCGAGCCTCTAAGTGAATGGGAGTCCCATTCACTTAGACTGGAAAGTGGACAAGATCCATTTGGACTGGAAAGTGGACAAGATACATTTGGACTGGCAAGTGGACAAGATACATTTGTCCTGGAGGGACTCCCGTTCACTTAGAGCCTCGAAATGTACAGAACGAGAGTGAATCGTCCGGTAGAAAATGGAAAGTTGCATCGCCACGAGTTTTTGGTCTATTGTGCATGTGGAGAGTAAGTGGAGCGAGGCCCAATAAGTATTTATAACAAATTCGTCGGTCATTGAATACGCTAAGAAGGAAAAAAAGAAGAACCAAAAAAAAAAAAAAAAAAA